GCGCAATGGTGTACTGAGTTTCTAAAGCTTTTGATAAAGTTTGGCATGCTGGTCTTCTCCAAAAGCTTTCTTCTTACGGTGTATCTGGCAACATCTTTAAGATTATTGAATCTTTCTTTTCCAATGGTAGTATAAAAGTTGTCCTCGGTGGACAGCACTCTTCTTCTTATTCTGTAACCTCAGGGGTTCCTCAAGGTTCAATTCTTGGCCCTATACTCTTTTTAATTTACATTAACGATCTTCCAGATATTCTCACATCTAAGGTGGCATTGTTTGCTGATAATATTACCATTTATTCTTGTCATAATAAGAAGCCAACACTCTCTGATTGCTTGGAGAGGGCATTTGAGCTTGAAAAAGATCTCACTTCTGCAACAGCATGGGGCTCACAGTAGCTGATGAACTTTAATTCAGATAAAACTCAGCCAATCGTTATCGCAATAACTTCCTATAATACACCTTCCTATATTTATGAATGGTAATGTACTCATGAGTCATCTACCCTTTATCTTCTAGGATTAACTCTTACTTCTGATCTTTATTGGAAACCATATATCAAATCCGTTGCAAAATCAGCATTTGCTAAGGTTGCATCTCTTTATCGAGCTTGACACTTTCTTACTCTATATTCTATTCTTTATCTCTATAAATCTCAAATCAGTCCTTGTATGGAATACTGTTGCCATATCTGGGGTGGATCTTCTAATGACGCCCTTTCTCTTTTAGACAAGGTGCAAAAATGAATTGTAAACATAGTTGGACCTGCTCTTGCAGCCAAACTTTAGCCATTATCACATCATCGTAATGTTGCTTCTCTTTCTCTTTTCTACAAATACTATAATGGGCACTGCTCTAAAGAGCTAGTGTCTCTTGTGCCATCTACTAAAACTCATAGTTTTTTTCCTCAAACATTAGTTCTTTGGAATTCTCTTCCTTTATCTTGCTTTCCTGATTCATATAATTTGCAATCTAATAAGCCATTTGTCAATTGTTATCTTGCTCTACAATCTTCATCTTTTCTCTTCCAGTAACTTCTAACTCTAATTAGTGGTTGCTTGCAACCTTGTTGGAGGCGAAGATGCTAAAAAAAAAAAATGTCTGTTGATATTAACTTTATGTTTAACATTGTTTGCTTACAGCATATTATTTTCAAATTATTTTTTATTCATCATTTAAGAGTATTTGTCTGTTGTTAAATCATTTTTGTTATGTATAAGAGACATTTTTTTCTGAAGAAGACAACATTTTTTTTTCTTTCAGAAATTCAAAAATTGTTGATTAAAATGGTATTGAAACAATATAAGCCAAGTGATTGTTGTTTATTTATTGACAGTTCAAAATGTAGCCTCAAATGCATTCTCTTACATATTGAAAATAAATATGGTGGGGTACTAATTGCTCATATAACAAAGTTAAGCAAAGACTGTTACTATTAGTTACTATTTTAAAATTTGGTTAGTCGTAAATAAGATACAGTAATTTTAGGCAACATTTTGTGTGGACTTGTAAAAAGTAAATATTCTAATTTGACCAGTTTTAAATACCTTTGGGACAGTAGAGCAAAAAAGCAAACATAAAACAAGAAAACTAACAAAGTAGTTAAAATTAGTTTTGACATTTTTTTTAAACACCTATGTCATTAATTGTATACAATTACCTGTGTTAAAGAGTTACGAACGTTGAACTGAAAGTTTTATTTAATTTATAAGACATAGTATGAATAAGATGTAAACAAGATTAAAAAATGCATAGTTTGATAAGATATAAAAAGTATTGATAATTTTTTTATTTAAAAGATTTTATTGTCGCTAAATTCATTTTAAATGGTTTAAACCATTGGTTTAAACTATTAAAAAAATGTTGGTTTAAACCAAACTAATGTTTTTTTAAAAAGATTTGAACTCAAAACAGGAAACTAAGACAGGGTTATGCTTACAAATATAACTAATCTTCAATATAGATATATTTTTTTTAAATCCATGATTTTTTTTTTTTTTTTTTAATTTATCAATATGCTTCATCCAGGATACACTATACCTAATAGAACTGAAATTGGAGGAGAAATATTAGATAAGGTTTACAGAGAAGAAATTGAAAAATGTAATGTATTGAATGGGAAAATTGTAGCCATGTCTTTAGATGGCTGGAGTAATGTACATAATGAACCTATAGTTTGTATCTCTGTAATTACAGATAAAATTAACATTTTAGTAAAAAACAATCAACACTTCTGGTCATTCACATACTGGTGAATATCTTACACAATTAGAAAGAGAAGCAATAAATTTTGTAAGACGTAAATTTGGATGCACAGTAAAAAGCTTTGTGACTGACAATGCAGCTAATGTGAAATCAATGAGACAAGTATTGTCATCTGAAAAATATATTATCAAAACTTATGCTGCTCATATGCTGAATCTTTTAGCAAATGATCTTAACATTGAAAATGTGAGCAAGCATGTTAAACAAATAATAAAATATATAAGAAATAATCATCAAGCTGGAGCAATTTATAAATTAAGCGGAGGAACAAAATTGCCCCTTCCTACTGAAACTCACTGGAATTCTGTATAAGATTCACTTGAAAAATATGTCAACAACTGGAGCATTATTTTTACAATGTTTGAAAAAAATAAAGACTTGGATTTCGTGATTGGTAAAAAAGTAAGTGATAAACAGATAAAGCGAAACACAAAAGATTTATTGAAAATATTGAAACCAATTGCAGTAGCTCTAGATAAGTTGCAAAGAAATCAAACAAAAATAAGTGACTCTTGAAATTTTTAAAGATTTGATGAACAGTTTATTATTTTTATTAAACGAAAAAAAAAAATTGAATCTAGATACCTTCAGACTGTCAGTGATGTTCATTTCCTGGCAAACACACTAGATCCTAGATATTTTGGATCTAATCTTTTTGAAAATGAAAATGAAGCTGACATGAATTTCGCAGATAAAGAGTTAAAGAATTTGTTACCAATATTATTCAAATTAAAAGCCAAATCTACTATAACATAATGGAAATTGAAGGTTTATTAAATGCACCAGCTTCTAGTGCTGGAATCAAAAAAAAATTTTCAACTTTTGGTCTTGTTCATTCTAAGTTAAGAAACTGATTGGGGGTAGAAAAAGCAGCAAAGCTTCTATTTATATATAGAACATTAAACAATGATATATTGAATAATTTTAATAAAATATAACAATAATATTGATAAAGAATATGTTTACTCAAATAAAATATGTTATGCTTTTTTAATTTAAAAGGATAACTAAATACCGCATTTTTTAGTAAAAACCTAATTTAAACCAAAAAAACCATGGTTTTTTTGGTTTGTTTAAAAAAACCTATGGTTTTTGTTTTTTTTTTTCAAAAAAAAACGGTTTTTTTGCAACCCTGTGTTTCATTAATTAACATTTAACTGTTACATATTCATGTTATGCATGTATATTAGGGCTGTACCGGATTTAATTTTTTCAAATCCAGCCGGAGCCGGATTTGCCGGATTTCTACTGACAGATCCGGGTGGAATCGGAGCCGGATTTCAAAACAAAACTACAGGAGCCAAAATCCTGTACATCCCTACTTGGTGTTGAGAATGGTCAACAATGTGGACTATTCAGAATACCAAGTGACTGCTGTTTTCTGTTAAACTTCATTGTTGTTATTTAAAAAGTTTTATAGCAATTTCTATATATAAATTAATAGAAATTCTATAGAAATTCTATAAGCCATATGTTTTAAAAGTTTATAGTAATTCTATTGAACTTTTTTTCCGGGATTTTGTCACTCCGCCACTGTAGTGGATCATTGTGTCAATTTATTTCTGGTTCTTGCGGATATTTCCTTAGCTGAGTTTCAATGCCTTTTAGTAATTGTTGTTCATGTGCCCTGCCACCAGCAGACGTAGACTGAATAATTTTATCAATAAATTGCCAGAGTAATAATGATGATGTAGAAAAATTATCAAGCTCGGCTTATTTTGGTGGATTTTTGTCAATCTTCTGCTCAGCATGCTCAGATTGACATCAATCTTGCTTTTTCAGCTGTCAGTGTTGCCTGTAATGAGGAGAATTTAGTTTTAAATTGTGAGTCAACCAGCTTCGTCAGTATATAAAAAGGTTTCTCTTTTCAATGTTTTTAAAACGCTCATCCAATCACTTGATTATGGTTGACATAGTCTTTACACCTGCATCATTGTAGAATATCGTGTGTCTTCCCTTTAGAATTTTTTGTTGCGTTGTTTGAAATTAGACTAAGCTGATTAAATTATAAAGAAATATAAATACAAATACCAAAACAAATATGAGGTTCATAAAATATAGAATTACAAATAAAATTGATATTTATAAATAAAATATTACACGGGCAAAAAAAATGTAATAAATATTTGACAAAACTCAAAACTCCGACTAAAATTATGCTGGATTTGCTAATTTTTTGCTGGAGCTGGATTTGTGCCGGATTTTTAAAAAATGGCCCGATTTCGGCCGGAGCAGGAGCCGAAATCCGGTACAGCCCTAATGTATATGTTATTTTTTTAAATATTACATTGTATGGCATGCTTTATTTTTTTCTAGTTTTAACTTATGATTATTTAAATGAATTAAACAATTAAAGTTTATTTAATAATTTTTTAAATTCTTATAACAAAGCATTATAATGAGATTTTACACCAAAATTTCAGGATCAAGGCATAAATATTTTTAGTATAATAATCCCCTTAAGTAATAGGCTATGTAACAGTTATACTCTTTGAATTCTCCTATGTCAAAAAATGGAATATTTAAAGATTTATTTTAAGATATTTAATATATTTTAAGATATAGGATATTTTAAGATTATTAACCTTTGTTAATAAATCTTTGTTAATAAACCAGATATACTGGATTTTGACAAAAGAGAATTCAAAAACAAAACTAAACTTTTACTCTGATAATTTATAACTGTTAATTAACAATCTCGTTAACGGAGTTGGCAAAGCATCCAAATACTGACTTACCATCCACCAAGAGCAAAAATAAGAAATGGGGCTGATAAAATCATGCTAAGCTTCCTCCAATCTTCTAATAACCATGCAAATAATGTCATTATAAACAATCCTAACGTCCACATATTCCATATAACAAGACCTGCTAAAGCACGTCGCTCTGCTAAAACCAATTCTACAGATAAAACCATATTGCTGAGGAGAACACCACCAAAGCATATTCCAACTAAGCCACGCAAAAAAATAAATAAAAAAATGTTTGTGGAGAAGCTACCAATAAAGGAAAACAGAATAAGTCCGATATATGCTGGAATTAAAACTTTCTTGCGTCCATATCTAAATAAATTATAATTTTGACAAATTAAACAAATACTAAAACTAAAAATAACTAAAATATTTGTATATTTTTATTAAGAAGTTTTTGATATAGAATCAAAAACTCCTAAATAAAAATATACAAATTTTTTTTATTTGAATATTTCAACAAGTTTTTTTATTAATAAAAACATTTCATGAATTTAAAATTAACAGTATTAGGAGATTTAGGTATGTTGGCAAATTGCTTCATTTTAAAAAAATGGTACTAGATTTTTCCAGCAACATAAAAGATGCTATAAGAAATGTAATGCAACAAAAAATTGACAGTGAAACTAAGTTTTCATTTGACGAGTGGACATCAATTCAAAATACCTGTTATTTGAATATAAACTTACATGATAGAGATAATATTTGGAATTTGGGTTTAGTGAGAATTGTAGGAACATAACTTTATATTATATATATGTATAATTTTACTTAACTCTCCACACTTGGTCTAAATCTTGATATAGTATTGTGAGCATGATGATGGACTGCGTAAGCGTAAAACTTGGAAAACTATTACAGATTAATCAACAGTTTTGATTTGCTCATGGTACTCAGATGACTATTATATCTTCAATTTTACATAATACTACAGCATCATTCTGTCTGCAGAGACAATTAGTAATGGAAGTTGATAATGCCATAGAAAGTTAGGTAAATGAATCTGGATTTAGTGAAATCTGTGAATCAGATAGCGATGCTGTTGGACATGAAAATTACCTTATAGCAAAAAGTCAATTAATTGAAAGCGTATAATTAAAAACTAAGAAATTGGGCCAGTAATAAATAAAGTGAAGTGAAAAAGTGAAAAATTATGATAACATTTAAAAGATCACCAAGTAAAAATATTTTAAAATATTTCATGACTTTTTTTGAAAATACGTAGAAAGCGATTTAAGAAAAAAAAATTATTTAACAAAAGATTGCAAAACAAGATGAAGCAGCTTACTATCAATACTTAAAAGGCGTTATCAGTTAAAATATGACATAAAAAAGGAGCTTGTTGATATCAGTATCAATGATTCAATTAAAATAGCAAATAGTGAGAAGGAAATTGTTTCTAAACTAATAAACATGCTAATACCAGTAAATACAGCAGTAGATGTGCTATGTCAACATGATACAAACATAACTGTTAACAATGTGAAACATCTTCAAATTAACAAAAAAAAAAATTTTGGACTTTCTAAATAGATTAAATATCAAAAATTTAAATCATCCTAAAAAGTCTTTATACAATGTTGAAGATTTGTCAAGTGAAGAAGATATCATCAATAAGAATAATGAAAAATCAAAAACTATAAATGAACAACTAAATGAAGCCTTAGAAAAAAGCTTTCTTTCCAAGACTCTTTGCCAAGATTAAGTAAACCTTTGAGTTCTAAATTAATAAAAGAAATGACATTACTTGAAAGTGATTGTACATGTGGTGAAAGTCTTCTGAAAGTAACTTTTTAATGACAATTAAACCAACAGAGTCAGAAAGGGCATTTTCCGCTGCAGGACCACTTTGCAGTAAAATATGAGATTTGATTTTACAATCCTAATTCCTCGGTTAACAAATATCCCAGGTTCTCACAAACCCTAATGTGTATACAACATTTATTCTTTTTATATTAATTTTTTTAATAATCAGGTCTCGAATATCGCGTTTGCGAATTGCAATTACTTTTCACACCTTCATGATTATTTTTTTTTTTAAAAGAAAATACTTTTGCATTTTTTTTTTTGTTAACTTTTTTTCTTTTCTAATTTAGCTTCTTTTTTTTTGGCATTCTTAAAAAGTAATGTTTTTGTTTAAATTTTTCCAGGGTCATAAAGTACATCATGCTAAATTTATTTTTTAAATAGAAGTATGATCTTAGCTCCCTTGTGCGGAGATTTTATTTAACATAAAGTGTTTTTAAGGTAGTCGGTAAAATACGAATTTTTTTTTTATTTTTTTTTGTTTGCCGTTAAAATGTCTATTTTGCTATATATTTTATGGACTTCAAGCAGAAGCATAAACTATATTTAACTTAAATGAAATACAACCTAATTTAAATAAAATATATAAAATTCCATTAAAATTAATTTAAATGAAAAATTGATGAGCAAACGTTTTTTTAAATATTGCGACTGTAGTGGTCATTAAAATATAAAGTCGTAATTCCAAAAAAAGTTTGCATTTTTACCAGTTCGCAGTATGCATTTTACCAACTACCCACTTTTGAATTTAAATTACTTTAAACCTCTGCATGGGAGCCAATATTGTTTTAAAGTTATATTTAGTGGTAGTCGGTAAAATGCAAACTGTCAACTGCGAACTGCGAACCGGTAAAATGCGAACTTTTTTGCAAACCATGGTCTTATTGGTTGTTAATGATGTAATATTTTTATGATTTTCTTGTTTTTAAGACCGATTTTTACAGAATTTTCTTTTTTCATCTTGAGATTTAATTTTTTCTGTTGATAACAATTAAAAACTAAAAAATGTGTGGGGGGAGGGGTCTTAAAAAGCTTAGGGTGGGAGGGGAAATTTTCCAAAAATTATTAAATGCACCCTTTACCCCTTGTATTATGGAAAGTATAAAATATTAAATCTGTTATATAAGTATGAAAATACGAAAATTACTTAATTATTTATAACTAATTATATGTTTTAACTTAGTAACTTAGTTAATTATATGTTTTAACTTAGTAACTTAGTTAATTATATGTTTTAACTTAGTAACTTAGTAAATTATATGTTTTAACTTAGTAACTTAGTAAATTTACTATTTAATTCTTCAAATAGTAAAGATGAAGTATTAATAAAATTAGTTAATTCCACTATTGTGTTTATTATTTTAACAAGAAACCTTGAATAGAATATAAAAAACACAATACCATTTTTTTATTTAGTTAAAGCAATATCAAGATCAAACATTTTCTTTAAATACGCGAGTTATTTTTAGGAATTTTATTTAGAAGAAATCTATTTGAACAAAAGAATTTTAGTCTTCTAAAATTCTTTTATTCAAATCATTTTGAAATTGAAATTTGAAATTAAAAAAAAATTGGAAAAATCTAATAGATTTTCAAGTTTTAGTCAGCTGGTCGGGTATGTGACACAATTCATTTAGGTGAATTTAGTTTTGAGGACCTTTTTTCTTTTTTTTATAGAAGCCAACTACTACTTTTTAAGGACTCACCCCCTCCTCTTTTTATTCATAGAATTGCCTCTGAATCCAGGAAACATTCTATTGCAAACATTAAACTAGTGATTGCAAAAGTTAAAATACAAATTAAATTATAAATAATTTGAATTAAAACTAATAAATTATTTTACTTCTGTTTAAAGAAATGTTTTTCTAAAAAAATTAAGCATATTCTTAAACTTAAGGAAATATAATTTGATTTATTAAACTAAGTTTTTTTCTTTCACTTTTTATTGCAAAACAATTTGAATAAAAAAATTGAATGAAAACATCAATTTAAAAATCATTTGAATAAAAAACTTAATTATACTCAAATTTTTAATAGTACGCTTTATCAAGAAACAGTAAATAATAAAAAACGTGGTATTTAATACTATAGACATATGAACTTCAAATTATAACTTAAGCTATAAATTGTAACAGTAACTTACTTATATTACCGCAAAGCAGCGCAAGGAATGAAGGTGAGGGGGGTTTAGCAAAAAAAAATTTTGTGATAAGATTTGCGTTAATTCGAGCCCTGATATTATTATAATTTGTATCTAGTATATCTAGATACAAAATACTGACTTTTGTATTAAATGTTTATGAGTGAACTAAATAAAATAAAATGATCCAACTTATAAAATCTTATTAAATGGATCAAACTTTAATAAAAGTTCAATTCGAGTACATACTGCCTTTGTAATTTTGTATGCTAAAGAGAAACCTCTATACTTATTTTAGATCTGTAAAACGTTTTTATACAACTTTGTTAAAAATCATATAACTTTTGTTAAAAATCATATAACTTTTGTTAAAATCCAACCAATCAGAAAAAATTTTAAAAAAATAATAATAAATATACCTGTCAGATAACCACCCAATCAAAATAGTACCAATAATTTCACCCAGGAAAAGTGCTGAGTTAGCCAAATATGCATATGAATCTCTTTTACATATCAAATCAAACTAAAAATGATTTAAAAACAAAATCAAAATTGCATAAAGTGTGAAACTTATCTAAGTTTATGAAATCACAAGTGGACCAAACTATTACATACAAAAACAAAGTAATTATACTTTTTTAATAAAAAAAAATGCTAAAAAATGTTTTCAAAGATTAGCAGCCTGTTCTATCCCAGCTGAATTTGTATTCGTTTAAATGCGTTTTTTTATTGTTGCATCATGCAAAAGTATATATTTTATACTGCTTACAAATAAAGTGAGTCTAGTAGCAGTTTCTCAATGCTGCAACAGTATATCAAACTTATTTTAAAGATTTGTATTATTCCTCAAATCTTCATTTTGAGATAGCAGCTAGCTTGATTGGGGATTAAATTTAAGTTGGCTGTAATTCAGTATTTCCAAAAAAAAATTCCAAACCATCCTACATCCCTTGAAAACTAATAAATGGGATTGTCCTTATAAACTTCAGAAGGAATAACTTTATTTTAACAATTGAAATTAATAAACACCCTGCTCTCGCCCTTATTTATTAGGCACCTATGTGCAAACCCCCATAAATTAACCGTATATATACCCTTATGTATACCTTGGCATAAGTATGCTAAACACTAGCAGAACTGTGCTGAAATGTTTTAATAGCTACTAGGTAAAATGCGAACTGTGAACCGGTAAAATGCAAACTTTTTTGCAAACCATCGTTCTATTGGTTGTTAATGATGTAATGTTTTATTTCCCTTAAATAGTTAATTTAGCGGTATATTTTAAGGACTTTTAAGCATAAAAATTAATTAAAAATAAATAAAAGGAAATTAAGTGAAACTAGAAAAATGCAATATAATTTTTTTTTTTTTTAATTATTTAATAGGCTGTCTACCCAAACCAAACCCTAAGTCGATGTAGCAGCACTTCATTGCAAGTCAGGCTATAAGGTATTCGATGTAGCAGCATTCTGTTGCAAGTCAGGCTATAAGATAGTCGATGTAGCAACACTCCGCGCATGTTTTACAGTTGAAAAACTAAAATTTTAAATAAAGCTTTAAAATAAGTAATTAAGAATTAGGGAGTTTTTCATTATCATTTTTATCATAACAATAATGGTCTTTAAAATATGTTTTGGTTCGCAAAAAAGTTTGCATTTTACCGGTTCGCAGTTCGCATTTTACCGACAACCGTTTTAATAATATTTATAGCAAACTAATGTTTAAAAATGAAATTAATATTATTAAGAACTTCCATAACTAAATTCCAAAGTATGCAGATTATACTAATAACTAAAGTCAGGTCAGGTTAATCTGTTACTAGTAACATGTAACCCAGTACAAGCTACTTCATGTCCTGCTGCTTTGTAGGATATGCACCTTTAGGTAAAGGCTAGGAGATGCCAATTCTGACTTAAAACACCCCTTGCCTTGGGGCTCTACATTGAGTAAATGCATTGGTTTTGCCTGCCTCTGTTTTTGTGACTAGGTAACTCATTCTATTATCTCCAAATGAGGGTACAGCTATCAAACTCAGTTTTATGGTCCTGAGGCTAGCTGGTAGTCAGGTTTCCTAAACTCTGTGGTAGCTCTCAGAGCGGCTTATTCCATCAACAGTTGTAAAATATCAGATTACTAACGATGGCATGTTACGTATGGATGGTGTCCTTGTTTGTACTTTTGGTGCGAACTGTCAAGGCCACATTTGGAGCCTTTTGTTACGACCTAGGGTTTATTAATACAAATGAAGCAAAAGCTTGGACTATTAAATACTATACTAAGCTCTTTTTATGCTTTGAGTCAAAAGAACAAAGTAAAAAGTAACTAAAGTACCAAAAACAATAAAACACAATAAACCATCATCATCACCAAGTTCTCTAAACCTATCGTTCACTAATATTTGTGGTCTTAAAATTAACTTTTCTTTCTGTTGAGTCTTATCTCTTGCAAAGTTCACTAGATCTACATGTTCTTTGTAAAACTAATTTGAGTTCGGATGTCTCATCTTGTGATCTTAGTGTTGATGGGTTGATGTTTATCTTCCTTTAATTCATAAAGACTCCAATAGTCACATGCTTGGCCTGAGTATTTACATTCATAAGAATCCACCCATTTGTTGGGAAACTACCGACTAATCTTTTATGTGCTTTCTTTTAGGACCACTTCACTTTATGACCTTTCTCTTTGTTCTATATCGCTCTCCTTTATCTCAAGACTGCACTTATTTCGATGTTATTTCTGACCAAATTGACCAAGCTCTCTCTTGTTATATCCATCAGCCAAATGTGCTGTTAACATATTTACTTGGATTCAGGCTGGCATGGAATTTTTTGGTCATAATTGATGATTCCAAGTCAAGCCTCACTCTTCTCCAAAGTTTTCCTCACATTGCACAGTAGGCCAGGATAGTTGAATTTGAAACAAAATTAATAACTAATTTAATATAAGTACTGTATTTACAAAATTTAGCAAGAGTATCAAAGGGAGGTCTGTACTTCTTATGGATATAATATTTTTAATATCTAGTTGTTATGGATATCAAATTTTATATAGCAACAACCTATATTTAATATTAGAGATTTTTTGTTAGTGTTATATGTACCAAATTTGACATAAATAAAATATGAGGTCAAAACTTCTTTAAAAACTTTTATTATTTGTAATTAGTTGCTATAGATTTCTAATTTTGCATAGCAACAACCTGTTTCCGGTAGTTAAAGATTTTTTATTTGTGCTACTTACATTATATTTGGCATGTGATTTAATATGAGGTTTTTACTATACCTATAGTTTACTAATATTGCATAGCAAATATATTAAACAATATATATATATATATATATATATATATATACATACATATATATATATATATATATATATATATATATATATATATATATATATATATATATATATATATGAATATATATATATATATATATATATAGATGAATATATATATACATATATATATGTATATATATACATATATATATATATATATATATATATATATATATATATATATATATATATATATATATATATATATATATATATGTATATATATATACATATATATATATATATATATATGTATATATATATACATATATATATATGTATATATATATTCATATATATATATATATATATATATATATATATATATATATATATATATATATATATATATATATATATATATATATACATATATACTCTTGTATGTAGTCAGAAAGAGTTTCCCATAAACTGTAGTTTTAAAGAGCGCGTTAATAAACCAGACCAGAAAAAGTATAAAAACTTAATTTTTTTTTTTTTTTAATGATAGACTGCCTGCCCAAACCAAACCCTCAGTCGATGTAGCAGCACTCCCTTGCGAGTCAGGCTATTTGTCAGTCGTTGTAGCAGCACTCCCTTGCGAGTCAGGCTGTTTGTCAGTCGATGTAGCAGCACTCCCTTGCGAGTCAGGCTATTTGTCAGTCAATGTAGCAGCATTCCGTTACAAGTCAGGCTATAAGATAGTCGATGTAGAAACACTCCCTTGTAGCAGCAGGCTATAAGATAGTCGATGTAGCAACATTTACGCATGTTTTAAAATGTTTTTTAATAAAACAAAAACAAAAACACCACTAATTTAAGAAAACTTTCTAGTCGTTATCATTGGGGTTTTTTAAAAAATTTTTAGAAAACAATAAAATTTAATGTACTTCCGCATTAATTTAATTGCTTTGACATTTCGACGACCATCAAATACAGCTTAAGAGACGAGGTAATTAAAATTGTAGTCGAAAGAGACTTTTTTTACATTAAAAGACTCTTTCGACTACACTATAAGGATATATATATATATATATATATATATATATATATATATATATATATATATATACAGGATATATATATATATATAGGATATATATATATATCGCGGGAGCGATAGCTCTCGATTGCTGACCACGGAAATAATATTTAGTTGCGAAAAGCTGGCCAGATTTTTTAGTCCTTTTGAGAAGAAAAAAAAAAGCAAAAAAAATGCACAAAAGATTAATTGGACCGATGAGAGACAATTACAAAAAAAAAAAAAATAAGGTAAATAAAATAACGCAAAAAAACTCAAAGCAAAATAAATTACGTTTAGAACAAATATTTTCAAAGCATCGCTCTTTTATAAATTTTTTATAAAATTAAGTGTCATTTTTTATATAAAGTAACATCTTACTGTATCAAGTAACATCTTATGATACGATAAAAAGGAAACAAATGTTCTCTATTTAACAAAGTTTGCAAGTTTTAGTTTTATCTAAGTTATTTTATAAATAAAAAAGTTAATTTTTTTAATACCTATTTCATGTTTCGTGTAGTTTGAAAAGTTTAACATACTTAAAACATTTTTTTCTTAGTAAGATAGACAAATAAAATAATTAAATCATTGAATTACTATAGAAACTAAATAAGAAATTGAATTACTATAGAAACTAAAACTTTATGACAAGGAAGCCAAACTGCTTCACAATATTGATGATGATGTTTAGTGAGTGGGCTTCTTAATTCTAATAGTCTTTGTTTACAAATTAAATCATGAAAATTGCTTTAAAAGATTTCATTACGATGAAAAACAGATACACAAAATTACATTTACATAAAAAATACATACTTTTAAAATAAAAAATAAGAATATACTAATAATATCTATGAGTTATAAGAAACTATTAAAATTTTGACAATTTAAATAATATATATATATAAAACATTTATTTTGTAAACAATTAATAATAGTTTATAAGATTTACGGCTTTGCAGATGTGGCTCCGAGAATGAGCTATAGTATTGATAGTATTTTCTTAAAACAATTTATCCTTGAAATCTCAAAACGTAACAAATCGTGGATAGTACAATTTCTAAAACATTTCAACAGAATACGCTAGAACTTTACTCGTATAAATCGAACCACAAAAAAAAAAGTTTTTTTGGTGGTTTGATGCCTCACATGCAACAACAGCAAAGTTTGCTTGTTGC